GAATACTGCTTTGGGTTAATATGGCTTTGAGTCTTGGCTCCCCCTGCTTTTGGGGCAGGGGAATAAGAAAGATGATGCAGAGGGCAGCGTGGTTTCGTGCCTTTCAAAGCAAGACAGTAGCCAAAGGAGAGAGAAAGAAAGAAGCCAGTTAATTTCTTATACCTTCTTTCCTGCTTGGCTCTGGAAAACTGACAATGGGCACTGGAGAGTTCACCATACCATTTTTCTAATGCCTATGGAAAGCATAGGCATGTGTGCAGTGGAAGAGCAGCAGTGTGCAGCCACCTGCTCACCTTTGGTCCCATGTCTGTTCCTTAATGTGCCTTGGGATCCGCTCTCCTGTGTTTCTTGCTCTATGTGCTCTTCTGGCTCCCGGTCTAGGAGAGGGGCACTGGTGTTCTTCTCTGCCAAGAGGCCCTTGGTGACATCTTCTGTGGCACTCACATCCGAATGTGTCATTTTACTGTCAGAGCTCAGTGACTTGCTTCTTGATGAAGCATCTTCCTCTGCTGTGTAGGAGCTTTCACATTGCTTGCTTGTCTCCTGCTCCTTCCGTGGTTCCTGGTGGACAGGGCTGTCTCCTTTGCCATCCATTTTACTGTGGGCAGGCCTGGCTGTAGGGAATAAAATTCGCAGACCTATGCTTAGTCTCCTTCAGCACAAGAACCAACAACCCTTTCTCCTGCTCTGCCTCCTCTAAGCAAAGGCCCAGGTTATCAGCATTCTGGAAATGCTGTACACACAGAAGGGGAGAGACTCACCTTCATCCAAGTCATCTTCTTCCTGGGATCTTTCTGAGACACCATCTCTTGTCTTCCCAGATTCTTCCAGTGATACTTCAGTTTCCTGGGGAACCTTCTCCTCTACTGTGGAGGCAGCTGAATCTGACAGTGTCCTCTCTCCTCCATCAGCAGTTTGTGATTTACACACCGAAGAATCCTCCTCTGGTTTGCAGGAGGTCTCAGGCCACCTGTTGGTCACTTGGTGCTCAAGCGTTTCTTGGGTGGGCTCTTGGTGCACAGGATGCTCTGCTGTGTGCTCCACCTCATCTTGGGCTGGCCCAGCTGTTGGGATCAGAGTTCACAAGCTCAGCTAGCCATACAGGAGTCAAGAATACCCAGTGCTTTACCACCACCCTATAAAACTCTTAGTTCTTGCATTTCAGAAACATCTACTCCCAGGGAGATCGGGGAGAGAACCGGGTGACCAAAAGTGAGAAAACTCATGCGTCGAGATCAAGACAGCTGAATAGGTGAAGGAAAGGGGGGAAATCACGAGCAATGCAAAGGCAATCGCTTGCCACCTCCTACAAGTGAACTGATGCCAGGCCAGTCTCCAAGCAATGACCACCTTGGAAGCCAACCCCCTCTCCCTTTCTTCCTGTACCCCAGTTTTTGTTGCTGAGCGTGATGTTATACTGTATGCAATACCCTTTTGCCCACCTTGGGTCCCTGCTCAATCCTCTGCCCACCCCAGATTATTTTCTTGGCGGGGGGAGAGGGAGGAAAAAGCGAAAGCCTTGACGCTGTGCCAGCACTGTTCAGCAACAGCCAAAACACTGCTGTGTTATCAACACTTGTTTTTTCAAACCACAAATCCAAAACATAGCACTGTCCAGGCTGCTATGAGGAAAGTTAACTTAATGCCAGCCTATGTCCCATGCTGTCCTGTGTGGGGTGGGCAGGCAATTCTTTCGTTAAGTGGTAGGATATGTCACCACATCTTCCACAGATAGTGGGTTTTCCTAGGTTGATAGATTAAGGTGATGGATTTGAAGAATTTCTAAGGCTGTTGTTGAGTACTGGCCAGAACAGTTACGCCAACGCACTTCGAGCATCTGTCTGAACGTAAATGTTAGCTCTGGTTGCGCTCCTTCTCTGCTCCTGTTCTGGAGCTGCTCTCCCCAAGAGCTATGGCAATGTATGAGGATGAGGAAAAGCAAACACTGGAGCATAATTCAATAGAGAAATTCTGAAGCTGAACATAAGTGTTTGCAACATATTCTGAATCTTACAAAACCAAACAGTGCAGCTCAAACTTCAGGCACTATTTGTGAAAAATTGCTTATGAATGATCAAGCACTACAACGACATAGGAACAATTATGCTAAAATTAGAATAAAGACTCTGATACAAATGGCAAGGAACTCCCTACTAATTTGAAAGCAGAGAAAAAGCTGCACTTGTCACATGTCAGAACATGCTGCCTTTTGGAGCATGATTTTTTACATTCCTTGTTGTCGAGTATTACAGGAACACTTCTGACTGCCTAGGACAGACCTGAGCTGGTTATAGCATCACAGTATCACTGAAATACTCGCACATAGTAGTCATAACAAGGCACCCAGACAGTGTAAGTACACAGTAGAAACTGAAATATGAGGAAGCTGGAGGTATCCTGCTATTCAAGCTGGGTGCAAACAGTACTTTTCGCCCTGCCTCCTCCAGAGGTTTCCCATCCATAGGTGGTGGAAAACTGGCTTATTATTTAAGCATCTGTAGGTGGGAAGCACTGGGATGCAGGGAAAAAAGCTCTCCCAGCTCCATCTTTATCCTTCCTTGTGCTGCCATCCTGGACACAGAGTCTAAACCTGTTGCAGATGGCAATCCAAAACTGAACATAACCTGTTATTCTTTCATCCTTCAAAAAAAGATAGAAACTTGCTTTTCTTGGCCTGGAAAATGGGGGATTCTTTTATTTTTTATTTTGCTTAGGTTTCCCATGTCACTGTTGAAATCTTCTTGCAAAAGTATTTTCCTAGTAGATGGAGTAAGCGTAGGATTCACTTACCTCCAGACAAATCCACACTTGGATTCTCTTCCATTTTCTTTCTCCCTTGGAGCCCTGGCTTCTGCACCGTTTTGTTTCACTTTCTCCTTTGGTCATAAGGAGCTGTATTTCCCCGCTGTTCAAGTGGCTGACCAAGTCCCCTCACAGACACCATCCTGTTCTTGGCCTCAGGGATTGCGACTAAACGCCCGTAAACCTGATAAGCACAAGCACAGCGGCAGTGATTCACGGTGGAGAAGGAGGCTCCTCCCTCCATGCTTACTAAGGTGGTGTGAAGATGGAAGAACGTCACCGACAACCATGAACTTTCAGCCCCAGGGCTATTAGCTATTTTGCTTCCCGGCAGGCTGCAAGCAGTCCAAGGGCTAATGCAAACCACAGTTGTCTCTGGACAAGCTGGTGGGGTGAGGCACCGGTTTCTCATCCGGATGGACTTGGATGGACTTGGCTGTGCTCCGAGATGGCAGGCCTGGAGGCTGGGGCTCGGCAGGCTGCCCCGTGTGCTTTCGGGCACCTGGTATCTCACAGCCAGCTCGACACAGAGCAATGAGCCTGCTCCACCTTACCTTCCTGCCTCCAGCGCGTCGGATCGGGAGAGGGTGGTGCTGGAAGGTGAAGCCGCTGGCAGAAACACTGCCCGGCCCCTGTGCAGCAGCGTTACCCCCACCCGACCTCGCACCCATCCAAGGGGGCCGAGCAGCGCCCTGGCCGGGTCTTGTGAACCTGGAGCCACAGCCTGACTCTCCTACACCCCCGCAGCGGTACTCCCGCCTCTGCTAAAGCACTTTGGGACCGGACGGCCGCATAGGAGGGAGCTAGGCTCGCTGGTGTAAGCTGAGAAAGTTATGGCTTTCATGAGTGCAACGCCTGCCCGTGGAAAACTAGGCAGCAAGGAAAACTCCCTGCTGGGGAGCGGCTGGTACAGATCTCCGTACAAAAATCTCGAGCTCAGCCTTCACAGCAGCTCTTCTAGCATAGGGGGGCACCTTCCCCCACCTGTGCTGTCTCTACAGATGAGTTTTCTTGCTAAATACAAGATTTTGGGGGGCGGGGTGCATAATTGCTGCTCTCTGCCGCCCAGCTCTCGTCCCTCCCCTCCCTGTGCCGTTCCCGCTGGTGAAGCTCTGGCAGAAGAAGGAAGTCAGAGGAACAAAGTAGCTTGTGGAGTCGGACGCTTACCCAGCCTTGGAGGTTTGGAGCTGGTCGGGGCGGTGAAGCGAAGCAGAGGGGCGGCAAGAGGAGGCCAGCGCTGGCCCCTCCGCTTCCCCTTCCCAGAGGCCCTTTGGCTCTGCCGGTGGCAGGACAGCCCGTGCCGCCAACGCGCACCCTTAATCCTCCGCTGTCAACGTGACAGTGAACTCTGCCCTTCCGCGGGCGCCCGGCAGGCTGCTGGGAGGTGTAGTTTTCCTTCCCTCCTCCTCGCCAAAGGTGGACGGCTTTTCCCCAGTGAACAGCAGTCGTTCTCAGGAGCGTTCAGGAAACGATAACTTCTTTTTTGGCTGTATTTCTGAAACTCCGTGGTCGTGCAGATTTTCCTTCAGGCAGACGGGATGACTGGTGGCTTCCTGCGTTAAGTAACAGCATTGCAGATTTAAACAACTAAATGACAGTGAGGAGGTAACTGTTTTAAGAGTTTATTGATGAAGTTGAAAAGTACCACAAGAAAAACAACCTGAACACGTAGCCAGCAAAGCCCAGGCTCTTGAAACATCCCGTTGTGCAAGCGCAGGGAGGCTGGGGAGCTGTGGGCTGTGAAATGGAGTGTCTTTAGCATCAGCCTGGAGGGCAAGGGATGGGGAGCCCCCCCAGTGCTCCCCTTCCAGCGTGGTCCAGAGACTCCAACAGGCAGAAGGTCAGAGAGAATGCGTGTAGCTGCTCCTGGCCTCATCTGGGCAACCGTTTTCCAAAACATGACGCTATGCCTTGCTGCACCCGCACAGGGGACAGGTATGGTCCAATGCCCTTCGCTATTCCCCCCTGCCCAGGACACGTGCCCCAGGGAAAGGCATCAGCGCAAGGAGCAGCCACGCGGAGACTGCAACCCCCTCAAAGTCAGCTTGCAGCCTTCTCACTGACATCCCCGGAGGAGCCCAGCGGTAAACGGCTGAGACGAAGCACGGGGAAAGGCAACTGAAACGGTGCCTATAGGGAATAGAGGCTGAATGGCTGGGACTCCTCAGTTTGGAGGGCGGAAGGCTGAAGGGGAGGTTTTGACTGATGTGGAACTGTTGTTCACCAAATCCTTCAATACTAGGACTTGAGTCACTTGTAAAACAGGTAGGAGGTCGGGTCCAGGTGGGCAGAAAAAAAGTACTTCTTCCTGCTGTGTGCAGGAAACTTCTGGACCTTTCTGGCACAGGGGCCATGGAGGCAGAGCGTCAGAAGGCTCAAAAAAGGATGAGTCTCATTTGCGGACAGCAGGTCCATAAAGCGTTGGTAGAGGACCAGGCAGGGCTGTACCTGGCAACAGGAGTTGACATTTAGGCAAAGCGCATGATCCCAGCCCCGTCCCGTGCTCTGTTCTCCTTATGCTCCCACAGCGCTGTCCCACTGGGGATGCTGAAGCCGCAAGGGGCTGTGTGTGCCCCCCTGGGCAGGACTGGCCAGAGGGTGCCCCGCTTCCCCTCCGCCTCTGCCCCGGCCTCCACAAGCTGCGCCCCGCCCTATGGCCAACTTCGCATCCGTCCCTTGACCGTACTGTCACCGCTCGGCTATGGGACACGTGTGTGTCACGCCACACAAGGGGTGAGCATGTGCACGAGTATCAATGCCGACGCTGGTTGTATCAGGAAGGCGAGAAGGCGTGAGGCGTGCGCGGGCACGGGGCACGTAGCGGTAGCAGGATTGCACCTTCCCTCTGGCAGTGCGGAAAGGCAGCAGCTTCCTCCGTGCTCCGCAGAGCCACCCTGCTGGTGGTGGCCAGGAGGGGACAGAGTCCACCTCCCTCCCTGGCAGAGTCAGCACATTCTTTTATGGTGGCCAGCCTCTCACCGGGTGCAGCAGAGGCCGTAAAACCAGGGAGAGCGGCAAGGCAAGAAGGAAAAAGCCCGAGTGGCTGATCTGCGGAGGCCGAGGTCTCCCCGAGGGCCCTGCTCTTGGCGGACGTCCATCTCCATCCCGGCCAAAGGTACGTTTGACTTGATCTGCTTCTAGCCATACGTAAGGAACAGCCCAGGCGGCCAAAGCGGAGAGGAGCTGCAGGCGTCAAGGGCTTCACGAAAATCCAAGTATTTTACATCCCTCTGTCCCTACAGCCAGGCAGCCCCTTCGTCGCGGGGGGCAATCGGGAGCGGGCAGAGGGGCCGCCCTGCTCACAGAAGCATGAGTGTCATGAAACCGGTGGCAGAACTCCAGCTCAGCAGGTGAAAGAGGCGAAGAAGAATCAACAGCGACTAGGGGAATTACAAAGGACAGGCTATGCAAATATTTACATGATGTAATCACTTAGTAACTTTCTTCGGAAACCTGCAAATAAAGAGATACTACTTGTAGCCATAGTTCTGCCCCGCGGGTCTTTTTCTCCTTGATCTGACCCGCATG